CCACTTTAAGGACCTTTATAGGTTCTAAATCTTTGTCTTTCCGTCTGTCTTTTTCTTTCCATTTGAGAGTATATAAACCTTGTGCTTGCTTCTTGTATTGTTATTGAGAATTATAATAAAAATAAAGGGGTTTGATACTATGATTTAGATTCAAGACATATCACATCTTAATTGTTAATTGACGCCAAAGAGTACCATAAATCGGCCTTAATCTCGTTGACTAATTCATCTATAAAAGAAGCAAGTGTTACCAATTAGTTGGATCAAGGATCATTTAAACCTAACGGAGGGATTAAAATAGTGTAAGAATCTTTTAGTTTGGTAGAAAAGAAGGGATAATGAATTCCTGCTATGCACCAACAAAATTAAAAGGACAAGCAAGATGACTCCAACAAAAACCTTTAATCGGAATGATGTAGGGAAAAATTCTTGGTTATGCACCATCACCCACCCTGAAAATAGATATTATATATTAAAGTAATGATTCCGGTTATTAAATTAAGAATAATAGACAACACGTATGTACCTTTCTTTAAAATATTTGGCCACTCGATCGCTAGTCATGTTCTATGTAATTTTTGTGTTATGTATTTGTTCTTTTAAATGACATAATTTATGTCATTTCATTTTCACAAAGATGTGAGATTTATATTTTTTTTTTGTCCACTCTCTCTCCTTCATGATTTATCTCTTTCTCAACTCGAAGGAGACAACTTTTTTCTCCTACATAAATAAAAAGGTAGGTTCCTTGAGTTTCTTCTTGTTTTTTTTATGGATTTTATAATTCTCATGTTGAATGAAAATTGAAATCTTATGTTATAGTCTTATAGAGACAAAAAAAACATGTGGGGCCCATATGTTAGAAAAAAATTATATGTAGGACCCATGTCAGCACGGAAATCGAATGGTGTGTAGAAAAATTTTAATTTTCATGTTGAATAAGAATTATAAAACCCTTTTTTTATTTACAAATAGTGGGATCTACATATTTATCTATATGACATGAGATAACTTACCTTCTTTAATATGAGATTAATAACACTCTACTTTATATATATATGTATAGGTAAAATTATTTCTGCAGCCACTTTACGTACAGCAACGACAGGTGTATGGTTATGATTCCTCACATTTAATGCTTTTATCTTTTGTATTGTTATGATTCCCCGCATTTAATGTTTTCAAATATATAATATATATATATATGGCAAGTATTTGATTGCTGCACGTACAACAACTGCAGAAATGTAAACCCCACATATATATATATATACATATAGATGTTATATATATATATATATATATATATATATGTTATAAATATTATGTAACAAAATCATCTTTTAAAAGTGAGCCCAATAATATGTGGTTATTTATTATTATGGGGTTAGAAATTACCTCTATTACAAAATTTCAATTATTAAATGTAATATACAAAGAATAAAAAAAATTAAATAGTTGTACTTTTAGAAAAATATAATGATATTTGACTCATTACTCTTTATTAAAAATTGAAATACTTAAAGTATTATCTTTCACTAGTGTTCTTTTTATTATCTAATAAAAATAAATAGTTGTAAAATCATAATAAACACTTTCTTGATTTTTTAAGCGATAACTAAATTACTTTTTTTTCTTCTTTCAAAACAGCAGTTATGTTGAAATGGAAGACAAATTCTGAGAATCGATATAAAGTCTCTTTCCGGATCATCTTAAAGATATTCCCACACATGAGCTAGCTTGTTTTGACTCAATATGCTTAAAGTAGGTACAATATACTTAAAGTAGCTAGCTTTAATGTGTAGTATATTTGAGTCACGCAATACTATTAGTTGAGTTTATTGAGTATGTGATTAGTTGTATATCAGTCGTGAAACAAGTCAATGCAAAAAAACAAGGTAAGAGCCGATGAATTTAAAACTAAATCTTTGAATTTCTTGTTGGATATCTGGCTCCAAAAGTTTCTTCTAATACGCGCCATAATAATATAAACGAGTAGGGGTTTGATTTTCTCATGTTAAATGAGAATTCAATTCTCATGTTGTAGAGATAAAAAGTATGTGAAACCCAGGTGTAAGAAAAAATTATATGTAGGACCCATGTCAGTACGGAAATCGAATAGTATGTAGGAAAATTTGAATTCTCATGTTAAATGAGAATTATAAAATTCAAACGAGTATTGACATTTTTTACCCAATTTATAACCCAGTTTCGATTAAATTTATAGACGATCGATTAGACATAGTTACCTCCGTATTTAGATGGCATCCCCTCCCCCCGCGATTTTGTAATCATATCTTTCGTATATGTGTCTTCTAGCGAAATTGTTGTTACTAGAACTACTCACGTTATAGAGATATAAGTAAATGGGATAGGATATTGTGACATCCAAGTTATGTTACACCCATGTGACACCCAGTCAATCTCATCGTTAGATCGCTTATGTTGATCCAACGGTTATATTTATTTCCATCTTAGTATGGTCATGATTTCCCAAATTTAAATTGAAAGCATTAAATATGGGAAATCATAACCATACAAAGGTAGAAATAAATATAAAATATTAAATTTGAGAAATCATGACCATACAAAGATGGAAATAAATATAACCGTTGGATCAACATAAGCGATCTAACGGTGAGATTGACTGGGTGTCACATGGGTGTAACATAATTTGGGTGTCACAATATCCTATCCCTAAGTAAATATATTAAAATTTAAATATAATTTTGATCTACTATTAGATTTATGAATCATCTCATTTATATATATCATGCTTAGTTTATTTTTCACTATACGAGATTTTATCACTTATACTTAAATTAAAAACATATTTAACTATAATAATACTAATTATTTAAGAGGTTACATTTTTTGAATAAAGTGAAAGTATCGCTTTAATTTAGAAGATCCTTTTTTATTGGTAAAGTAGAAAGAAAAATTGTTATTAAAATCTAAATAGTGAATTAGAGGAATGGGATGGGGACCGATCAACCTACACTATGAATAGCAAAACCGGCAGCTGCGACGCACGCTGATTATTTTATTTGATGTTAAATATTTAGGAATAATAATTCGTAATAAATATTTAGAAATTTACTATATCCAACTAATAACTATTAAACATTTTATAAAGAAAGCATCTTAAATAGAACCAAAAATGGGACGTTTGTCGAGCAAAGAAAGTATCCACGCTGTTTCCCAACATGCAACAAGTTTCTTTGTGCGTCGTCGTGCCAATATCTTTGGTACTTCGTATGCATCAAAAGTTCGGTACATCTTTTAATCATATTATAATATGACACGTGTCTTATTTTATATTAAATTATTTTTTTTTTTAATTTTAAAATAAATTATTTATTATTAATTTGATAAAAACAAAACAAATAAACAACAAAGAAATTTCCGTCGTTTTGGCTTCTCCATATCTACAAAACACAGACCGCTTCCACTTTCTGTATCTGTGCACTTCCGACCCCACGCGCCACTTCCTGACACACCTTTTGTTTCGTAAGTTGCATCACTCGTCACTCTCCACTCTATATAGTGCCAATTTACGAATAAAATTTTAGTGTTATTGTTGTATCAAAGATTCAGTACATCTCACCAATAGAAATGTTACATGTCAGCTAAAGTTTTCTTTTCTCTGTCAAATTTTTTCTCTCTCACATGATGTGTAATGCTCTTATTGATAAGATAGACTGAATCTTGCTACAAGAATAATACTAAACATTTATTCCCAATTTGGACTCCCCAATGCATCCAGTGTCTCCCTTCTCACCCTCCATCTTTTGGAAACAGTCATATAAATGCAAAATATTACAAACCCAAAACACATACACATATTTTAATGCGTATCATCACAATAGTATTTGTAGTTGGGAAGTTGCGTTTACCAAAGCTGCATAATGAATGTATTTACCTCAGTAAAATTTTCACCAAAAAAGAGTACAGCTTTTGCTTTCTTTCTTTTTTTTCTTCCACCCCTCTCCTTCAAATAACAGTTATTGAAAACGGGTTGGTTGATACTAAATAGTAAATACAAGTTGTCAATAAGGGGGGTGAATAAAAAGGACCACAGAGTACTGACAAAGTTAAGAAACAAATATTTGTAGCTGATGTGTATGAGTTGAGCGGCTGCGAGCTCTGATACTCCGATACTGTTTTTTTTACTTAAAGCGGTCAATATTTTAGAACACGTGATTAATTTTTGGACATATTTTTTTTTGATATGCAGTCAATTTTTTTTGATACGTGATAACGCTTTGATATATTTTTTTTTTCTTAGTCTTAATTTTTTTATTAACTAAAAATAAAAAAAATTATTTTTAAATTAATTTTTTTTTATTATGAAATTTGACATGAAAAATTAACAAGGTACGAATTTTTTTTATTTTAGATTTATGTTATAAAATTCGAATATTTGATTGGTTATATGATTTATTATAAACTGTTATATGTATTAAATATAAATTATATTATTTAATATCAAAACATGTTCCAACATATTAAAATATGTCATTTTTTAAAATTAACGTGTCGGCATGTCAGTGTCCGTGTATTATAGACTGCCCGTCGTTCTAACAAAATCAAATGTAAAAAAGAAATTAAAAAAAATGGCATGCATAAATGTATTTGTATATCATCTATTTTCACCATTGCCTCCCCATCTATCTGCTGAGAAGAAAAAACCTTGAGAAAGAGAATCAAATCATTTCCTTAACCCTCACGCCTCAATTACACCCATCTCCCCCACCCAATATCCTCTCACTGCTCAAAAAATCTTTTTTTTCTTTTTTCTTCTCTTCTCTCTCTCCCTTCTTTTCATGCATTTAAACTCTTTAGTTGACGAATTTCCCGCTTCACTTCACTTCACGCCATCATCTTTCCTAACTCTTTATATTCCCAAGCATACTAGGTTGTAAAGTAAAAAAAGGAAGAAAAAAAAACAGAGGTTTCTCTTTACCTTGTTTGCTTTTTTGGGGTGGATTTTTTCTTACATGGGTTCTTGCAAAGAACAAGAAAAAGAGCAAGCAAAGTGTGTGTGGGTTCATGGACCTATCATTGTAGGAGCTGGACCCTCAGGTATAGCCGTAGCTGCTTGTCTCTCTCAACATGGAGTACCAAGTGTGATTCTTGAGAGGAGTGACTGCATAGCTTCTCTGTGGCAAAACAGAACTTATGACCGTCTCAAACTACACCTTCCAAAAGAGTTTTGCGAGCTTCCATTAATGGGTTTCCCTCAAGGTTTCCCAAAGTACCCCACTAAGTACCAGTTCATCTCATACATGGAGTCCTATGCATCACACTTCTCCATTCAACCCAAGTTCAACCAAACTGTTCACAGTGCTGAGTTCGATCCAAGTTCTGAAATTTGGGTGGTTCGAACTCAAGATTTTGAGTACATTTCCCCGTGGCTTGTAGTTGCCACAGGTGAAAATGCTGAGCCTGTTATTCCTAGAATTCCAGGGATGGATTTGTTTCATGGTCCCATTTCTCACACCATTGTCTATAAGTCTGGTTCTGACTACAAAAACCAAAAGGTTTTGGTGATTGGTTGTGGCAATTCCGGAATGGAAGCAAGTTTGGACCTTTGTAGGCACAATGCTGTCCCTCACATGGTTGCGAGAAATACAGTAAGTTCTGTTTTTTTTCCTTCCTCTTTCCTTCAATATTAAGCTCTTGGCAAATGCTAGTCTTTGTTATTGTTATTAATTAATCATGACATGCACATAATTTTTTCAGTACTGAAATTGACATCATATATGTTTTTTCTTTTTTACCCATTTGGGAAACTAATCATCAAACTTGGAAGTGTCCTTTTTCTTTTTCTTTTTTCTTTTTTGCTGACTTTGGTGCAAATTAAATGATGCAAGGTACATGTTCTTCCTAGGGATATATTTGGCTTCTCAACATTTGGAATAGCTATGGCACTCAATAAATGGTTTCCACTAAAATTAGTAGACAAGTTACTCTTGCTCGTTGCTAACTTTATTTTGGGCAACACCAATCACTATGGCATCAAGAGGCCCAAAACTGGTCCAATCGAGCTCAAACTTGCAACTGGAAAAACCCCTGTCCTTGATGTTGGTCAACTAGCACAAATAAAATCCGGTAACATTAAGGTATAATATAGTTAAAGGACCCCATTTTCTTGATTCAGGTGTATTTTACTTGCAAAAGCTAGGAGCACTTCAAAATTTTGGCATGTCTTGAGGCTAAGATTGGATAGGGTTTTGCAGGTGATGGGAGGGGTGAAGGAGATAACAAGGAATGGTGCAAAATTTATGGATGGAAAAAAAGAGGAATTTGATGCTATAATATTGGCAACAGGATACAAGAGCAACGTGCCTTCTTGGCTCAAGGTTAAAAGTTGACCTGTTCTGTTGCGTTTTTTGCTCTATCTTATTATGAAGCACTTATGATCTATCACTATCTATGCTGGGGACACATGCAGGGAGTAGAAACCTACAAATGTCTTCTTTTCCTCATGCAAAAGATAAAGAATAAAATCTGTTTGGGGTCTGTGCTGGGTTCTATTAACTTTTTTTTTTTTTTTTAAATAATGTATTTGTGTGCATCATTTTCCTCGTATTAATATATTATGAGAAAACATTTTCTCCTTTTAAAGGATAAATTTTTTTTCCTACTAAAGACACATAGTATAAGTGGGGCCTATAAAATAGTGGAAAGAAAAAAATTCTAAGTGGGATCCACTTGTGCTACGAGTCTAGGAGAAAATTTTCTCTTTTAAAAGTAGAAAATATTTTTTCCGTATATTATTTAACAAGATTTAAAACTCTGCATTCACTGTGACGTTTCTGATGTGTATCGATCCTGAAATATCTCGTTTTCAACTTGTAAAAGTCACACCTAAAAGGCTAAAAAGTATTGTTTCTGCTCTTTTTCTTGCTTAAGAGAGAAGCAGTGGTGCTGTGTTGATAACCTGATGAGTAAACTGTGCCACCCTTTGGTCAATTCATTCTGCTTCAAAATTTATTATTTTATGTAATTCAATTTACTTTTCTTTTTCCTGTGGGTAAGGTTAGGAAGCTATCATATCATTCTCTGAAAAAAATCTTGTCTCTGACTATGCATGCCGTCATTAAAATCCAAAGTACGCATCATGTTTAATATTCTTTTATAAGATTACAACTTCCTGTGTAAATTCTCTTTATTATAGTATGTTATGGCTTATATCGCCTTGTCAATTGAAATTTGAATAAATACTTAAATTTGTTTTCAAGTTAGTTAATTTAAATTATTCTTTCCTTATTTCAGAGCTGTGAATTTTTCACCGATGATGGAATGCCCAAAACGCCCTTTCCTGATGGATGGAAAGGAGAGCATGGATTGTATACAGTGGGATTCACAAGAAGAGGTCTTCATGGAACGTCCTCTGATGCTATCAAAATTGCTAAAGACATAGCTGAACAGTGGATAACTGTTAAGGACAAGAGTTACTGTGATTCACAGATCATCCTACTCAAGAATTCTTAGTCCTTACCCCAATAAGATGTGCAAGTTTTTATTTGTTTAGAAGAAAAAAGAATAGGGAGTTAGGATAACCTTGGCATTGTGCTAAGTTTTTCTTTCTTTTTAATTTTTTCACCCTTTTTCCTTGGTTTTCTGTGTATGTACAATTTTGTATTTAGGAGCATACGCTTTTCTAGCTACTCATGTTTTAGCTTTGTACAAAACAGTTTCATAAATGGAATGGTACCTTGGTTCAAATAAAGTGCAGCCGTACCCAAAATAAATAATCAAGTAAAGTACCAGCAATGAGTGATGGTTTACTACATACACAGATTTTATTTTAAGTATAAATTTGTATCTTCTACCTTAGGGTTCATCGTACAGGAACACAATTAGATCTTAAAAATTCATGATTTCACGTTCATAATTTTTATTCATGATTCTAGTAAAATTTTGACCGTAGAATTGTAGAAGGTCTTTTCAATTTTGACTTTGGTTTGATAGCTAGAATCTTCCTCCTCATGATCTTTTCTGAACTTTACAGCATGCTATGGGAGCATATTGGCTAATAGTAATTTTTGTGAAGTTTATTCATCATTGAAAATTAGGGTCACGTTAAAATTTACACTATTTTTCAATATCAACATAAGCCGAAAGTCCAATTTATCATGAGCAAAATATGCTAATCGAAATAATTAAAATTGAAATACCTGTTAATTCGATTAATTTTAAAACACAAATAATTAATTAATATTGTCCATGTAAAAACAAATTCTTACAAAAAAAAAATTTTGAACATAGTACCCATGAAGAAATTTATTAATTATCATTCCTTATAAATATTTAACATCTAGTCTTGTCATAATATTTCCTCCTCATACAGCACTTTAGAATAAAAAATAGAGCAAAATAATTCTCAATGGTTTTATTATCCACTATGTTTCTCTTCTCACATACAGGGATTTTGTAATGTTTGCCCACTTGTACTATTCCCCACAAATTAACACAAGATTTTTTAATGTATTTTGTCTTCTTCTTCACAAACTAACACAAGATTTTTCAGCGTATTTACTCCTCACTCACACACTTCTCAAGAAACTTTTCAAGAGGTCACTCATCTCAAAATTACTCCAAGTCAAGCACACTTAATTACGAATTTCTTAAGTTATAGGCTATCAAAAAATAGATGTATCTTGTTAGTATAGGTAGTATCTATTAATTCATTTAAGTTATCATCAACTGTACAGTCTTATACCTATACAACATCTGGATCTTTCTCGTTCAAGTGTTGATTCGATTCATTCATCCCCTCTAAGGAGACGTTCCTTATCTGTGTCTCATCTCTTTTGCACCGGCAAACACTCCTCGCCCTCGTCTATATATTTCATTATAACAAAAAATTGTAAATGAGGATGCGATTCCAAGCAGTTTCTATAATTGTACATTACAATGTTCAAAACGAATATTTACTTTTGCGATTTCTTTTAAAGAATAAATTTTTTAAAATGAATAAGTGAGAGTATGGATGTGCATAACAACTTTCCCATAACCAGTTTTTTTTTTTCAAATCTTGTTCTCGGGAACAAAAAATGGATAGAAACAGTGTTTGACAAAACCGATTTATTTTTTTGTTCCCGAGAATAAACCCGTTCAATTTCTATGCTGGAAAAAAAAAGAATCAAATTGTTTTTGCTCTTTTGTTCCCGAGCACAAAATGTGAAACACTTGTTTTTCTGAATCACTAACCAACACTACCATCATCACCACCACCACCATCCCGACATGACCACCGCCAATATCGTAGTCGCTGCCATCGTACCACTATCACCGTCATCGCCACCACCATCACTAATGCCAAGGAAGCACCGACATGAAATTTCTCTAAAAAAATATGTGACGGACTGATATGCCTCCAGCATATATATAAATCTAAGACAAAAAGAAAAAGAATCTTGATCAATACTGGATAAAAGGGCTAGAATAACTGATAATTTGATAAATCTCAATCAAAGATCACGCAACTGATTTCCTTTTGATTTTGTAGGAAAACAGGACAAAAAGAAGCTCAAGTGGAAGTTTAAAAGCTGAGGCCCCACGCTACTAGCGTGGAACTCACGCTAGTAGCGCCATAATTAAATTTCATCCCGAGACATCCACGCTCACAGCGTGAAACTCACACTAGTTGCGCCAGACTTTCTTGCAACCCACGCTCACAGCGTGGGAACCACGCTAGTTGCGTGAACTTCCCGAACTATGAACAAAACTCCCACGTTATTAGCATGGGATCCACGCTAGTAGCGCCAAGCTCCTGTATCAAGAACAATACTCCTACGCTATTAGCATGGTATTCACGCTAGTAGCGCGGGAGGCACGTGGTGATTTTTCAAGCTTATATCAAACTATATCAGAGGGAGCTTGGACCAAGAGATATGATGAAGATTTGATCAAGATTTCTACACAAGGTCACAAACTCTATAAATAGAGACTCAGACCTCAGAGACAAAAAAAATTTGACTGAAGATAATTCTTGGAGGCTCACGCTGGAGATCAAGATTCCGATGGAGTTGAAGACCGAAGATTATTGATCCTTCTTCTTCTTTTCTTTCTTTTTCTTTATTGCTTTATGAATTCTTTTTATTATTTTAATTTGTTTAAGCCAGCTATGTCTGGCTAGTTTGTTTTTGTAGTTGGGATCACGGACCCAATGTGAATCCATTATATTTTCTGTATTGATATTTTATAATAGAATTAGTTAGTTTGTTTTATTCTACCTGGTTTAATTTTTCATATCATGTTTAGAACTTATCACTCTAAATTATAGGGCTTTGAGGGTTAGAATTCACAATAGACATATTGTGGTTTTAATATGGACAAGGGTAGAATAACAATTTGTGTGTGATCTAGACATAGGCTTACATAAATTGCAGACTCATAATTCAATTGCTTAATGTTTAATTCAAAAGGGATTACTAAGACATTAGAATTCTAATTAGGTTAAAGGGTTGAAATCACTAAGACATTAGGGTTCAACTATTTTATAGGAAAATATTGATTGTCTGAACAAACAAATTAATTGATTATAAAATACGATACAGTAATATAAGGGAGGATCGGAGGTGAAGTATATCCTGGTTACATGCTTCTTATAAATTTTTTCATCAATATTTTCTCGCGTTCTTGATCTTTTCTTGCATGCGTTCAAAATTAATTGTTATTAATTTTCTTTTTTAAGTTTAATTGTTTTTAATTTCTGTTTTGAATTCCAAAATCAATCACTTTCACAACTCAACCAGATTTTCTCTTCAAACTTAAGGGTAATAGTTAAACTAGTACTTGGTGCATTAATCCTCGTGGGAACGATACTCTACTTATCACTTTATTACTTTGAACAAACGGTATACTTGCCGAATTCGCAACACAGACACTGACACATTTTGACATGCGGTTGACTTTTTGGGACAAATTGACTATTCTGACACGCGATTTTGACCGTGTCCGACATTATCAAATGACATTTTTGAAAAAAAAAATTATAATTTTGACCTAGGCTGATGTTGCAATGGCAGCTGACGGGCAGAACTAAATCAGCAGCATTGGTGGCACATAAGATAGTGGCTCAGTTACGGGGCGGACGTTGTGGCGAGCAGCAATCAGATGTAAGAAGATGATGATTAAGAATCGATCTGACCGTCCGAGATGGCTCGAGGTGGACAACGATGGTGGCACACGCAGGCAACAGAGTGATGACAGCAAAAATTGACAATCCGACGATGCAAGGAGGGTGAATAACTTTAGGGTGGCGACTGAAGCTTGAAGAAAAAGCCTTAAGTGAACGAACAGGTTGGGGAGGGCAATTTGGGGTGGGGGTGGGGGAGAACTTTAGGGATAATTTGGGAGAATAGTAATATTTAAGGAATGCATATATACTAATAGAGTAAGGGGAATGTTATACTTACAACCTATTTTTTGTTTACAACTTTTTACAACCATATCTTAATCGTTGATTTTATTCAATTAACGGTTATTATTCATTGCAAATTAAATATTAATTAGAGAGTTTGATTTAGTTCAAATAAAATCATCAAATGAATCAAATTATAAATTGTCAAAGTTTTTTTGTTTTTTCAACAACAATATTTACGTATACATTATTAATACAACGATATTATTGTAAAATTAATTTATGACGTATAAATATTTTTTTATATGGATGTTCTAATAATTTTGCTTTTATATTTACTATATGATATTTGAATATTTGATTGGTTATATGACTTCTTATGGATTGTTATATGTATTAAATGTAAATAATATTATATAAATTAAAAATATCATTTAATATCAAAGCTTGTCCTAACGTGTCAAAATCTACCGGTTTTAATAACATTGGGTAGACTTTACATGATTATTTTATTAATGATCTTACAGTACGACTGGAGGTTAAATTAATTTTTAAATTTTATTTTGATAACAAATTAAGAAAAAAAAATTATCTTCTTAATTTAAATCTCCTCTCATTCGACATAAGCAATTTTTATTAATTTTCAAGAATTATTCAATTGAGAGTAACCAATGCTTAATTTCAAAAATTATCCTTAACATTCAAGTATTGTCGATGATGCATCATACAATACTTTACTAAATTTTTGAAATCATAAGCGGGGATAACTTGTTGAAAGAGCGTCAGACTAAAGATTCGAAGATCAGATCTTTCAATTAGGTCAGATCATATGTCCATAAGCCCAGAAAATAAAAAAGTTATTTTAATTTCAAGAATAATTTTTTTTATTATATGAAGATATATTAACTTTTATACAAATCAAATGTTAAAAGTGTAAATAATTCTTAAACATCTTATAATTTTATTTTATTTTTATAAAAGAAACTCCATTATTATTTAAATATTTAATTTATAAATATTTCATAACAGAATATGTAGCTTAGAAGTTAGAACTATATCGGGTACAATGGGGCTCGAAATGGGGCCAGGTTTTGTATGTTCGCCGAGTAATGACGCGTTCCAA